ACTTGGCAGCCTTAACTATTATACAGAGTCACTGTATTTTCATCAAATTCCATGGGTCTTGTAGTCATGATCAACATAATATATCGGAAGACTGACAAATAGAAAAAAAAAAAAAAGGAACTGCACCTACTATACGCCAGGCACTGTTCTGAACAGCTGCTATGCTTTCTCTCACTCGGACCTCATAAAAAACTAGGGGGCAGGCACTGTGACGCTCCCTGTGTACAGATGACAAAACAGCTGGTGTGACGTGTCCCCCGCCTCAGGCTCGCGGGCAGAGCCAGGTGCTGGCCAGGCAGCCTGACGCCACGCCCCGCGGTACCCACGTGTACACGGCCTTTCAGGCATGAGCACAGGAGCATCTCCCCGAGGAAGGACAGCCCTTCCCCTTCCCGCGTTTCCTTCTTCCCGTCTCTGTTCCTTTCACCCCTCTTCCCTTTGCTTCCCTCTCTCCCTTGCTGTGTCTTCAGCCCACGGACACTCCCAGAGGCCTGGCTCAGGCGGCGGCATCGGAGTGAGACGTGGGCCCGGGTACAGGAAACAGCGTTCAGCACGATCCCTCGTAACAGAGCACGCTTACGTCTGAGGGAACTCACTCCAAGCAAGAAAGCACAGGCCACCATTTCAATAAGACCAGGAATGTGAGAAACCACCATAACCGACCTTCTTCAGCCCGTTGCTCTTCCTCCGCGATACCTGCCTGTCACCTTATCCGTGTTCCTGGGGGAGACCGTGCCCCCAACCCGCACCTCTCCATTAAGCTCCACGCTGACGACCGTCAACTGTGCTAGACATTCCCGTCTGGACGGTCCAACTTCGAGCTAAACAGACCCAGCACTGCCTGCAGAGGGCTCCCCAGTCCTGAATCTCCTGAACTTTCTCTTGGATCCAGTGGAGCCCGCGCTGAAGCGTGGAGGTCTCTACCTCACTTTCTGCATCCAACCCGCTCTGCCAGGTTCACCTCCAAACCCACCCCTTCCCTCGGCTTCTGCTGCCCCCGCGGCAGCTCAGGCCCGTGTCGCCTTCACTCACTGCCACTGAGTGCACACAGTGAAGTCCGTGGCCCTCCCCTACTCTGCGCCTTGCTAGGGTCCCTCCTGCCCAGGATGAAGTGCCTGTTCCGCCTTCCAGCACCCACCTGGCCTCAGGCCCCTGGTTTTCCAACCCCCTCCTCCTAGTGCTCACCTCCGCGTCCTGTCCCTGGGATCCTCTCAGCCTAAATTCTTCAAGCCTGCCTTGAACGAACAGGCAGGGTTTGGTTTTTCAACAGCACGGAGTAACCCTGGCTCCTTTAGAGCACGTGTAACTAATAATTTCCAATTCACTATGAGAACGAAGTCTTTACACTGTTTTTACTGTGGTGAAAGTTGTGTGTAAGGAAGAGATCACATTCCCTTAAGAACTGAGGAGGAAAAAAGGGCTGGTTCAGGCCACCATCTTTCTGTCTCTTAATCGGGAACGGCACTCGGCAGCCTGGGCCGCACAGGGAGCCACTGGGGATCCTTGAAGTCTGAGCGCCTGGTGCACCCTCGGGGGTCGGTGTGAGGGTCCGGGTGCCGGGAGCTGTGAGCTCCTGGTGGGCCCGCTGGGCAGCACCCGCCCGAGGGAGCCCAGGCGGAGGCCTGGGCATCAGGGCGCTGCCCGGCCCAGTGAGGAGAGGGCCCGAGAGCCGGTGGGTCCGGGAGACAAATGGCACAAAGAGGGGGTAGAAACAGGGAGAGAGGATGAGAAACAAAACAGGAAAAAGAAAGTATAACCACGGCCTCTCAGACCTGTCAGGCAGCGCAAACCCCGCCTTCTCCACGCACCTCCCCGAGCCCAGCTGCGCTTCCTCCTTTGTGGTCTGACTGCCCTTCCTCAGGGAACCCACGTGCACCCCTGTCCGCTATCGGGGCTCCTGCAGGCCCCAGAAAGCCCGCGTGCTCCTCCCTGCTGGTGTGCATCCTGTGTTTCCGCCTGCCAAGCCGCCGGCTGGCTCATGTGGGTACGTGGCTCCTCTTAAGTATAACTAACGGCGAGTCATGGTTAATATGTCACCCCTCCCGCAGGACCGGGCCTGGCCACGCTGACCGCAGTGCAAGGACCTCCAGGCGAGGTCAGAGCTGACTGAGTAGGTTCGAGTGTGTCCCCTAAGATGCAAAGTTAAATCAGAGACCATAGGTGGTGGCCTAATACTGGCGAGCAAGGATTGACAAATTTACCAGTGATTCCTTGCCATGTGTCTTGATCACCACCCACAGCTGTTGAGACATCCGGCGAGGTATTGCGTGTGCCCTTACGATGCATTTATGTTTCTAGTGAAAGGCGTCCAGTTATCATCTTTACAGGGAGTAGCCAAGAAATATACCTGCTGTAAATTCCAAAGCCTTATCATTTCAAGTCAAAAGAAGTTACCTCTTTTAGTGGAAATACTAAGCATTTCCTGTTTGCCTGAGAAAGCCACGTCCCAGAGGACAAAATCCAAGGTCAAAATCAAAGAAATCATTTACTCTGTGCGTGTGTGTGCACGTGTGTGTGTGTGTGTGTGTTTACACAGATAGACAGGCCACTCCCTGAAAAACTGGGCCCAACAGTAAGAGCTGTTCAAATACTAAGTGGATCAAAAGTGGGCATTGTATTTTCAAAAATTATTCTGGTATGAACTATAATTTGTGGAAATTAGGATAGTTACAATTTTTCTGGTGGTGCTGACCCCTAAAAACAAACTCCCAATGAGACCGTCACAGAAGGCTGAAAACCATCTGCATATGTAAGAGCCACAGAGAACTCCCTCCTCATGCTCCATCCAGAAACATAAAGTCCGTGAATTCGCAGAAAGATAACTTCTCTTCATCGATTATTTAATGTCTGATGTTTTTCCAAGGAAAAGTTTAAACTGTCACCACCACATTTTCAAACCCCCAAAGTCAACCACCACCACCTGACGGGGCCCCCAAAATTCTCACCAGAAAAACACACCCATCTGCATTCTACCTGAACACAGGGGCAGAATCTCACTACGCTATCAGAATCCCTTAAAACGTAGTTAAGATAATACATCCTAATGGACGGAATTAAAATGCCAAAGAGGTGAGTGATCACAAATTGATGGAATCCCAGCAGGCCCCTGGGAGCAGCAGTGTGACCACAGAGCCTTCTCCCCCACATCGCTAAGAAAAGGAAGATGCCTGCTGTACATAAAACCAGAAAAGCTAAGGGAGCCGTAGGCTTCTAACTGGTGAGTAACTCCGAATGCTTAGGAAAGAAAACATGTGGGTAAGCTCACGCAATTACCAAAATTACAGCAAACCTGCTAGGGTTTTATCATGAAGAAAATGAGCCTCCAACCGCAGGCAAGGGCAGAGACGAAGCTTCTGTTAGCACATGAGAACCTACACACACACCCTACACTGAGTCAACATGCAGGTAATCCCACTGACGGATGAAACGATGGCATCTGGGAGCTCCTGTCGCTGCTGAGACCGCGCCGGGTCGCTGTCTGGACACGAACGACTGGTTTTAACAGCGAAAGCGGATGGCACTCAGGCACCCGGGCTGAGGAGAACTGTCTAGCTCATCTCTGCGACTCGGAGAACGTACGCATGACCCGGACGAGGCCAAGGTCATCCCACCTCCTTAATATTGCAGCACCGTCTGCAGCTGGGCCCCCGGAGGGTGCCCGGGGACTCTGGGTCTGGGAACCACCCACACGGGGCCTGGCTTTGTTCAGTGACCACGAGGGGGTCAAAGGTTTGAGAAAGAAGGGATGGGGCACAGCCTCCCAAAGCGAAACCAAACCAAACATGGGAGAAAAAAAAAGTACAGTTGTTTGGGGAAAAGAATGGTTCTAGGTTGAAACTTTAAATGATAACATATTCTCTTCAGTGAGTAAAAGGGACATGAAGAGATCAGGGTTTCTCAAGTCTTGTCCGTCTCTGTTTCTCCTTCCTGATACATATTCTCTTCAGTGAGTAAAAGGGACATGAAGAGAAGAGAGATCAGGGTTTCTCAAGTCTTGACCGTGTCTGTTTCTCCTTCCTGACTTCTCATAGGAACAGCAGGTGCAGAGACTGCCCTGTACACGCGGACGCACACAGTGGCCTTTTCTGTTACGGCAACTTCCAACGTTAGGAGCGGCCGTGCCAGACTTGCCTGTGAGGTCAGAGCGCCTGGAGGGGAGCTGGCTGCTCCTCGCAGAGCCAGTGACGAAGCAGGACTCAGAGGGCAAGGCGCTGCCCCATCCACTCCAGACCGACACCAGGGGGAGAAACACCACACAGAGGAGAACCAGGCATTTCGTTTTTTCAGCTAAAAGGGTTCCATGGAGCATTTAGGGAGGAGGAGGATGTGTAAATGCCCCATGTGTTCATGGCAGATAAAAACACAGAAACTCATGTCATAATCAGGAAGCTGATAAAAGCGTTTTCCTCCACGAACTCGCAGGAAGTGGGGGTTGTGGGGGCCACACCACAGCCGACTGAACGGAGCAGACATCTATACCCCAGGAGGTCGAGTCTGTGTGTCAGCAAGTGGCCAAGAATCACCGAAGGCTGAGAAAACAGAACCCTCTTCATCCCCTTCCGCCCCCTCCGCTAGTGCCCGCGATGGGTGGGCCCCGGAGGCCCAGGGTGACACGCTCCTGCAGCTGGTGCTCCCACAGCTGGTGCTCCCGCAGCTGGTGCTCCCGCGCCTCGGAGCACTCACTCCCAGGCTCCTTGCTGAGAGCACGCAGCAGGTTCTGCTTGTTTGTTTTAGATAATCCAGTGAGGCTCCCTCCTTCCTTCCTTTCGTTTCTTTCTTAAAGAGAAAGCAACAGAAAGCCCTGTTCTCACCCCAACACACATGATCATATCCACCCATGTGACCACAGGAGTTATAAGACCATGGAAAGGGAAGGTCTGCTGCCTAAGGAGCTATAAGACCATGGAAAGGGAAGGTCCGGTGCCCCAGGAGCTATAAGACCATGGAAAGGGAAGGTCCGGTGCCCCAGGAGCTATAAGACCATGCAGCAAGGTTCCTACCTGATGTGGCCGATCAACTCAATGAGCTTGTGACTGAAAAAATAAGCCGTCAGCTCGGACACGTGGCTCAGCACAGAGCACACCCCGAAGAGGGTGGTGGTCCCGTTCAGGTCCTCCAGGTGCCAGTAGAGGAAGGTGAACACGAAGCCGTAGCCAAAGCCCATGAACCAGGCCACGAAGAGCACGGAGCCGTACTGCACGCTGCACAGCAGGCGGATGAGGTCCCAGAAGCTGGCGGCCTGCGCGTGGCTCGCGGCGGGCACCTCCTCGGCGGACTCGGTGGGGCTGCCTCTCTCCACCGGGGCGATCTCCACCTCCTTGCCTCGACCCTCGTCACTTTTGAAGTGGTTGTAGCGGAAGCGGAACTGAGTGGCCACGATCAAGGCCATGGTCATGAGGACCCCGAAGACGATGAAGACGATCTGGTAGTTGCGGTACTCGGGGGGCCGGCACCCCTTCCCGTGGACGAGCACCTCGATGTGGGTGTAGTCGATCCCGATGCCCACGGACAGCATGGCCAGGCCCCAGCCCAGGGAGCCCCACATGCGCTGCAGCCCATAGCGGTCCCTGTGTTTGCCCAGGTACTGGAGCGTCACCGTGTCCACAATGGTGACGGAAGAGGCACTGAAGAACTCTCCGATGATGACCACCACCAGGATCACCAGGAAGATGGCTTCCACTTCTTGTTGGTCGTAAACCAGAGTGACCTGGTCAGAAGGTAAAGCCCTGGTGGTAGTGACGATGGTAGTGGTGGGCTCTCTGGTGACAATCCCCGGGGGGGCAGGGGCTGCAGTGCTTGGGATCAAGGTCAGGTCCTTGCTGAGGTCTGTCACGTCCTCGGTCTGCGGCGGCAGCGTGCGCGCGCTGGTCCTGTCGAAGGCTGTTGGGAAGGTGAGAGGCTCCGTGACGTTGGGCCCGGTGTCTCCCGCCGCCGTGGGCCCACTGGCAAGGAGCAGGCCTCTCCTCTCACGCGGCCTCGGTGGCGGTGGCGGCGTCGCGGAAGAGAGGAAGGAGGAATTCGCTGGCAGGAGGGTTAGCAGGTGACTCGTGTTGGCAGGGCGGGCCGTTGGGGGAGTCTTTGGTACACACCGCAAGGTCGCGGGTTTGACAAAGCCGATGCCCAGGTTGAATAAAACCCAGCACAGAAGAGAAAAGAGGAGGACGATTTTGCCCTTCTTAAAGCGATCGGCAACCACGCCCCAAAAGGGGGCGCTGCAGAATTCAATGAAGTAGCGGATGCCCACCAGCAGCCCGCTCTGGCTGGGGGACATTCCCAGCTGCTTGTAGTACACGGGCAGCAGGGGGTACAGAGAGCCGTATGCGGCGTAGAAGAAGAAGTAGAAGACCTTGGAGATGAGCAGGTCGTTGTTGATCTTCACGCAGTGTCTCTCGATCCAGTCCACCTCCTCCTCGGGGGCGGCCTCCGTGGCTGTGGACGAGGGGGTCTCGTGAGGCGGCGGCTCCTGCTCCCTGGAAATGCCATTGAAAGGATCGGCGAGCACGTACTTCCGCTTCTGCTCCTCCTCGTCATCCGTGAGGATGGCCACTTTATCATCGGCCGCCATGGCTCGTCACCACCATCGGAAGTGCCACTTCACAGTGTTGGCGGCTGCTCTGTAGAGTAAAAGGCAAAGGATGGCTTAGTGACGACACCGCTAACATGTGAGCACAAAGCTTCATCTTGCAGGACGCAGAGGCGTTTCAAACGACAGCTAAGAATAACCGTGGGGGTGAATCCTCACCCTGGGTCACCTGCCGCCATACAACACTGACTCTAAAAACCTTTCGAAACATCAAATGTTCTTTCTGGCCACTGACTGACTAATCGCATCTCCCGATGACAGGCTGATAGCTCAGGTTCATTCGAATCTTTTCACGGATTCCTACCAAAAACGCCCAAAGGATAGGGATTAGGTCTAAACCACACAGGGAACTGAAAATAAATAGTATTTCTAGTTTCTGGGTTTTACTGCTCAAACATAGCCACTGAACCAGGAAGTCTAGAATATTTAGGAAATCAAGGTAGCCCAACCCATTCCGTTTCTAGAGAAAAACAGAAAGCAGCTCCTGATTCCAACCAAATGAACGAGAACCATTGGTACCAGGCCTTGGTGCTGCAGCCATGAGAGGACACAGTGGTGAGGAAGCAGCCTCCGGTGGCTGATGTTACATACGTTTCTCCAGATGTGATTTCAGGGATTGCAGTTTAAGAAAACGAAAACCAAAGATGAATCGTGAAGGCAGCGAAACAGAAATTACAACTTGCCAATAGGGGGAAAACAATTCCAAACCCAGGGTTTCTCATCGGAAACCACGGACGCCAGACGGAAGGGGCCAATAGTGTTTAAGTGCTGAAAGAACTGCCCACCCAGAGCCCTACATTCAGAAAAAAGTCCATCAACCAGAAAACTACAGAACCATATTCCTTATGAATATAGATTCAAAAATCCCTAGCAAAATACTAGGAAAGAAAGTTTAGAAATATATAAAAAAGAATTGTACACGATGACCAAGATGGGTCTATTCAAGGTGCAATATTGGGAAATCAATCGACGTAACCCACCATATCAAGATGCCAAGAAGATGAAAATAGGGTCCCATCACCCATCTGACAAAATGAAGAAGTCGTTCATGAAAAGTCTCAGAAAAACAGGAACGGAGGCGAACGTCACCGTGGCGGAACCTGCAGAGACCATGACACCTGATGGTTAAAGGCAGAGAGCTCTTTCTCTCTATGGGAACAAAGCAAGACTGTCTGTTCTCACCACCCTTAGGCAACGTGGAGCTGGAAGCCCTAGCCAGCGCTATGAGGAAAGAGAAGGAAACAGGAGTCACGCAGGTCCAAAGGGAAGACAGAAACTGTCTTTATTGGAAATGACTGTCCAGGGAAGAAATCCCAAGAAATCTCCAAAACCTTCTAGAACCAGGAAGTGAGTTCAACAAGTTCACAGGATACAAGACAAACACACACAAAAATCCACCTTGTGTTTCTGTAGACCAGCAATGGCCCCCGGACACCGACCTTTAAAATATAATCCCACTTAAAACTGCTAAAAGAATGAGTTATAAGTTAGCAAAACCTACGGGGCTGTATGTTGAAAACTGCAAAATGCTGGTGAAAGAAACAAAGGTCTAAGTCAATGGAGAGACATGTCATGTTCCATTCTCCTCAAATTTGTCTGCAGGTTTAACACAATCCCTATCACAATCTCAGACTTTGTCAGAATTTAAACTTTTGCTCTGCAGACGACCCTGCTAAGAGGATGGACCTACAGGTGGGAAACTATTTGAAAGCCGCATATTCCACAAAGGATTATTACCCACAATATATAAAGCACGCTCAAAACTCAACAATAAAAAAGCCAATTAGAAAACAGACCAAAGACATGAAGAGACATTTCACCAAGAGGACACACAGGATATACAGATGAAAATGTTCAGCATCATTAAGGAAATGTAAACTAAAAATATGACATGTCGCCGCACACCTGTGTGAACGGCTAAAGTAAAAAGAGTGACAACGCCAAATTCCGACACGGATGCCGAGGGTCAAGCTCCCTGCTCGTTGCTGGTGGGGCTGTAAAATGGGGCCGTTTCTTATAAATCTAAACCCGTGGCTACCACAGGACCCAGCAATATTTATCCCAGAGAAAGGGTCACTTATTTCATATAAAAACACACACGTTTACAGCATCTGCATTCCTAACATAGCCCCAAAATGGAAACAACCCAGGCGTCCTTCCATGGATGAATGGTTAAACAAACTGTGGTGCAGCTACACCATGGAATATTCCGCAGCAATAGAAAGGAACCAACGATTGCCCCATACAATAACCCGGATGAATCTCAAAAGAATCATGGAAAAAGTCTCAAAGCATCATGTACGGCCTGGTCCCATCACCTACCATTTTGGGGTGACACAGTGACCGAACTGGAGAGAAGACAGGTGATTGCAGGAAGTGGAGGGACACAGTCATCGTTTCCCTCGGGGAGGTCCTGCTCAGCACAGTGCCTGACAGACACTAAAAACGTGTGGGTACCATTTCTTTGGGGCCCAATGGAAGCCACTGACGAGAATTAAACAGCAAAGCATAAGGATCACGTTTGTGTTTCACAAAGATGATTCTGACGTCAGTGTGGGAACGGATGGGCAGGTTTAGCGGCTGCAGCCCCTAAGGATTTCTGGACATTTGGCCGTTTTCTTGGTGTAGAGTCTTAACACTACACCAAGGAAATAGGTTCCTAGGTATCAGTGTGGGGCTCCTGATGAAACACTGCCAACAGCTGACCCACACGCACAACTGTCCACGCTAACGTCCTGTGATAAACCCAGACAGGGCTTGTTCATTACGCAATCCTCCCGACACCTGGAGGAGCATGAACTGCGATGTGCTCCTGACTCCTCCCTCTCCTTCCGCAGGTGCCCTCCGCCCGAGCTGTTGTGGGACTGAAGGGAATTTATTGCTCTTTTTATAGTTACTTCCTGTCTGCCCAACTGGATCATACACCCCTTCCGGGAGGATCTAGCACTTAGGATACTGCTCTCTACGCGTGTAAACTCCCGAGAAATACTGACCAGCACTGATGGCGACATACATATAAGGAGTCATTCAAGATTAATGTGCCCAGAGGCGAACTGACTTTCAGAAGCACAGAGAGAAGTTCCCGTTGCTCTCTTGGCTCTGACAAACCAGTGCCTCTCCGAGCCTCTTTTTCGTAAAACGGGGATAAAACACAAACCCGAGGGGACTGACTCGCAGAGGGGTCGGGTCCTCTCTAACGCAGGAGTTTGCTCACGGATGAACGTCTGCTGTTGGTGGTGGTCGTGGTCTTGGACTTTTTCATGAACACCCTGGGCCTCCTTCTGCAAGTGTTCTAGAGCGTTCTTCCCCGCCAGTGTCCTGGGGTTCCCTGACGCCCCCCCCCCCGAGTTTACCCAGCGATGCGCGTGGATTCACGTCCACATCCACGTCCACGTCCGTGTCCACAGTGTAGGGTCATGGACTGGAATGTGCACCTTCAGGCAGGGAATGACTATTCATTCAATACAGTCCCTGCGGGAACACTGTGTGCATTTTACTTGTCCTATCTAATAAAGAGGGAATATGTGAATTGACCCTCACACCATTGCAAAGATGGCATCACCCACAGCCAACAAGGAAAGAATATGCTAATTGACCCTCACACCATTGCAAAGATGGCGTCACCCACAGCCAACAAGGAGAGAATATGCTGATTGACTGCCCTGCCCTCAAAGATGGCGGTGCCCCAGCCAATAAGGAGGGAATATGCTAATTGACTGCCTTGCCCTCAAAGATGGCGGCGCCTACAGCCACAAGATGGCCAGCAGGGGAGGGCAGTTGTGAGCGATCAGGCTGGCAAGGAAGGTCAGTTGGGGAGGACTGGGCTGGCAGAGGAGGGCAGTTGGGGGCAATCGGGCAGGCAAGGCAGGGCAGTTGGGGGCGATTGGGCCGGCAGGGGAGCAGTTAGGCATTGATCAGGCTGGCAGGGAGTGATTAGGGGCAATCAGGCAGGCAGGCAGGTGAGCGGTTGGGAGCCAGCAGTCCCAGATTGTGAGGGGGATGTTCGACTGCTGGTTTAAGCCCAATCCCTGTGGGGTCGGCAGTTGGACATCCCTCGAGGGGTTCCAGATTGGAAAGGATGCAAGCTGAGCTCGGGGACACCCCCCAGTGCACAAATTTCATGCACCAGGCCTCTAGTAACATAATAAACGTGAATAAAAAGGGCTGAGATCCTCTCTAACACATTTCCCTTCAACCCGCTCAGAGGGCAAAAGGAGCAAGTTACTTTCATCCCTTTAACCCTGAACATGGCTCCTGTAAATAAAAGCCAAGTGGCCTTCACTTTCACTTTGTGAAATTAAATGTCAATAAAAAATTTTGCAATTTAGGCCCTTAGCCCTTGGCGACCAACATGGAAATAGGTTCCTAGGTATCAGTGTGGGGCTCCTGATGAAACACTGCCGACAGCTGACGCACACGCGGGAGGCAGCCCGGAACCTCACTCGCTTCTCTCTCTCCGACTGATTTCCTGTCGCAGAGCGAGCTCCGGGCCAGCGGCAGTGGCAGCTCACAGTGCAGCACGCAAAGAGGAGTCACAGATTCCATCTCGTGAGGTTTCTCAACAAAATCCAGGAGATGTTCAGAACAGGGAGAGGATGAGCTGGCGACGCTGCTGCCGGCGCTCTGCGTTTATCTGTGCAGAAGGGACACGATGGAGGACTTAGCGAGGCCTCGGGGGCGCTGCCCAGGAGAACCGGGCCCAGTCACCGCTCTCAGCAGCAGACAGGGCGAGGGGGACTGCTCAGACACATCCTCTGTGAGTTTACCATTTACGTCAAAATACAGACCTCGGGTTTAAAACACACCTTTTCTACAGATCTGTAGCTACCACCAATTGCTTTTACTTATGCCCCCCAAATACACTACAGCTTCAAACAATGTATAGCCCACGCACATGCCAGGATACATAACCTAAAATTGTTTCCTATCATCTCAGGAACTCTAATAAACTGAGAGTTACCGTGTGCTATCAACTTGTTTCAGAAAAATATTTATTACCGAGCTCATTGAAGACAAAAGATTTCCTATAAA